CATTCTCTATGTCGCAGTCGTGATCTAACACGGACGCATCCACGCACTGGTAGTGTTTGCAGACCTGAAACAAAGCACGCCCATGTGATTCATTTGCATGGGGGCTGCAAACGTTCAACTCTGGTTATCTGAGGCATCCCCTCCTCAATCTGGCCCTCTCCAAATGGGTTGGGATGGAGGGGACAGAGGGGCTTCAACTCCCAGAATTCCCCAGCCAGCCATGCTGGCTGGGGAATTCCGGGAGTTGAAGTCCACACATCTTGAAGTGGCCAAGTTTGAAAAACATTGCTGTCCCCTCCATGCTGGGTGGGGAATTCTGGGAGTTGAAGCCCCTCTGTCCCCTCCATCCCAACCCATTTGGAGAGGGCCAGATTGAGGAGGGGATGCCTCAGATAACCAGAGTTGAACGTTTGCAGCCCCCATGCAAATGAATCACATGGGCGTGCTTTGTTTCAGGTCTGCAAACACTACCAGTGCGTGGATGCGTCCGTGTTAGATTACGACTGCGACATAGAGAATAAATGCAGTGGGCAAGGGGTAAGTTCCAAACTAACAGCAGCTTGATTTTGTAAACCTTCCTGTTGCTTCCTGGGTTTTGTTTCTGGAGCTAACATCTAGGTCATAGAATAGAAGAAACACCCTCTTCCTGTGCCCTCCAGTGATTTTTTTCACTGTCTGGTGATGTTTGCTAATGTTCTAAGTGTTGGGAAAGCCAACCGGGGATTATGGAAGGTTCACTGGAGAATTTCTTTGAAGGAAGGGGAGCATCCATCCTTGGATGGTGGCTGGGTCCCAAGCAATCAGATCCTGGGAAGCTGGGGGGACAGGATGGCAACCCAAGGAGATCCAACCATGGGGTGTAAGCTTGAATCCCAGAGTAGCCATAGAGCATCAGGAAGACCAGAAGCAAATGCCCAGTCCAATAAGGCAGGATTCACCATCTCTTCTTAAAAAAAAAACTAAACATATTTATTGAAAATTTTCATATAATAACAACAAACCAAAAGGAAAAAGAAAAAAAAAACCCAGAAAAGTACAAGAAAAGAAAAAGAAAACCAAAGAGTCACCCTCTGAGAGAGATGGGTGGCATATAAATTTAATAAATAAATAAATAAAGTTAAGAAACATATAGATGACCTCCAACCTTTTTTTCAACAGATAATTAGATTCTTATTGTCCCTCCTCCCTTTTAAGTATTTTACAAGTCCCTTCACCCTTTCATTTAGTCTTCATCTTTCTTAGTCTTCAAATCCATAAATCATCCATTCATTTTTTTTCCCTTCTTTCAACAAAGAAGTCCATATAAGGCCTCCAATCTTTCCAAAAAGTTTCTGTTGTTTGTTCTCTGACCAAGCAGGTCCATTTAGCCATTTCTTCATATTCTGACCTTTTCACCATCTGTTCCTCCACGGTGGGGATTTCATGATTCTAGGGTTCACCATCTCAAGAAATAGGAATGGGAGTGTATTTTCCCTTCCTCAAGTTGATAGATAGAATGTCTTTATATAGTTGCTCGTTGGTAGGTTTTTTTTAAAGCTTTTCGACAAAACGAAGCTTTTAACAGCGTGGTGGATCTCCATCCAAGTCAGGGACGTTCAATGGATTCTTTTTGCAGTTAAGCCCTGAAAATAAGCAATGCGTTTTTTCCCATATGTTTTCGGCTTCAGAATGGTGGGAAGCTATCCCACAATTCGTCAGAAAATTAGAGCGAGTTCCTGGTGTTCCAAATAAAGGGGCATGTTTTAGATGGAGGGGCTAAAGATTGGATGGGAGGCTGTCCCCATGCAAAGCATTTGCTCTGCCACTGAGTTCTGGTTCCTCCCTAA